CATACTGGTTACAAGAGTACTGATTAAAGAAAGTCTTTTATTTTATTTATTGACTTAGCTTGCTCTAATGGACACGATGAAACTGAATCGTTTGCTTAGGAAAAAAAACCTGCATTAGAACAAAGTAGGCAAATACTATGCTTTGTGCTCTTCAAACAGCAAGTATCTGATTAGACTAATATCGGATTATTTTGTAAATATAACTTGGACCGCAAGAATTCGAGCAATGCACTTGGCTTACGCTTGGATTTGGGAAGTCATTAAATGATGTCTACCACTAACAATAAAGGTATTGTATAGGACTTGAAATGAATTATATTTGACTGTAATTAGAAATGAAAATTCACGAATTTGCCTCAGCTACTTCACCCTTTGTCCATAATTTATAATACAAACATGAAACGTGATCGTGACACGAACCTATATCAAGGTTCTTGTCAAGGTCCAATAACGTAACGTCGGTTACTGTTTACCGAATATAATATTTTCAGTTGATATATGTTCTAATCTAAAGACTGCAAAGAGGTAGATGATAAATAATCTTATGTGAGAGCTTTGCTCCGGTACATATGGGCCGAAGCAAGCAACCGGAGTGATACGACAGCCTCGAAAGAGCAATACTTACCCCCTTTTTTTTCCTGTGCGGAAATCCCCTCGGTTACCACCCACCGATGGTTATGACCTAAAACCGCATGCCGTATCGTGTACCAGTAGGCCAGGAACCAGGTGCAACGTAGGAAGGAAATCCTTTGACAGTTCAAAAGCAGCGGTAGCCTAGTGTTTAGGGCATTGAACTTGCGATCAAGAGGTCGTGGGTTCGAATCTTGACTGACCAGTACACTACCGACGTGAACCCACTCCTAACACAAGCAATTTAGATTAGCGGGAGGGGTTAACGGGACTACTAGTAAATTCGGTTGCTAGTAGAGTTTAAAATATATTTATATATAAATACCTATTTGTAATCTATACTAATTAAAAATTTCTATCTATTTACATGATAAAATCACTGTGTGTCACTTGTTTGTATTATATTATTAGATATACCATTTGATACTTTGTGCAGGCAAAGCCTTCCAAACCCCTAAAAAAATAATATAAGAAGAAATATCATATAAGGTACCTGTTCGTGAACCTTTGAATCCTTACTTTACTAGCCTTATATTTAGTACTGTGTCAGTTCTCACTCATATCCCTCCGAATAATATAAAAGAAAATTGCGGTGCCATGAATGTATGACTCGCGACACTACTCATCACATAACAAACATATTCGGTCTATTTCGACGAAGGACTAGAAAATTTGGAAGTACACCAGCAATTCGTTGAATATCAAGTACAATGAAACCCTAAAACAAAATTACTTTTTTTTTATTTTATACTCAGCTAATAATATGTAGGCTGAGAACATTGGTACTGTATTACCCAGTAATGATGTTTATATTTCATAGAAAATCTGTTATGGTGAACAGAGGCTAATAGCGGTATTTGGTTCTAGCCTCCAGGCGAATGCATTATGAGGCTGAGTAGAAAAAATATCTATAACATGAACCTAATTACCCTATTGTTATGTGGCATAGTATCGTATATACTGTATACGATATTTTCAGAAAAATGAAAATGAGGGATATAACTAGCCCCTTTCTTTCACGGGTTATGTTTGTATTTGAAATTGGATACCTCTTTTGTTAGTAGCAAAAGTAAAATGTTAAAGAAATCTGTCGGCTTCAGATTTTTGCTATAATTTACGTAAGAAATAAATCCTTATATTTTATGAATGTGAAAGTGAGTTCCTTTGTTTGTGACGCTTTCAGGCTTAAACCACTAAATTGATATAAAAAAAACTTCACGAATGGAAAGCTACATTATCAGTGAGTAACATAGGCTACTTATTACCGCGATACACGCGGGCGGGGCTGCAGGCAAAAGATAGTATTATATAATTTTTAAGAAATTATATAGAGTATAAAACATTACACAAGAACTGATCGCAATGTAGAACTAATTTGTATATGCACTCTTCTATAAATAGAGTCTACAATTAATTAAAATTAAAAATAGTATTAATATATCAATATATAAATAAATAGTGCGATTCATCAATTAGTATATAAAACCTAAACAACAGTCTCGCCAACTGTTAAAAAAGTTCCCACCTTAAGCAATTTTAAAATCCATTAAATTCACACCAAAACTCCCCAGCGACGGACCAAGTATTTATTCATTGCAATTTAATTAAATAAATAAATAAGAACTACAAATAATTAGTTAATAATAATAGTTATTTAATATTATTAAATATTTGTTATAAAATTCTATAACACAGAAATATAATTTCAATTTTTATAAAAATTATGTCATTTACATTATATGATACATTGGATAAATATATTTTTAACTTCATCCACTAAATTTTTCATTCCCGAATATATTATTTTGTTTAGTACGACTTAGCATTAGCAAATGGCCGGGAGTTTAGGTACTGTTTTGAATGTCTGTGTGTAGTGTTTGCCTAAATTGTTCAAAGTTGCTCATAGAATAGGTATATATTATTTGTAAATAAAAAGATTAATTATAGAGTTAAATTTTGAAGAGTGTGGCGTGTGCGTCGTAAATAGGTATTTTGTTAATAAAGAGGAATATTTTTGGAAATAGTGTTAACTGCATATCGCAAATAAACCCTATATTGGATTATTTCGTTAATAATGTTGGTGAAAACAGAATATTTGCCCCTTTTGATAGCGAAAATCGATGCGGCCATCGGTGAGTTGTATTATGATAAAAATAAGTTATTTATGTAAAATTAGTAGTAAGTGAAATACAAGTTATGATCATTTTCCATTTGCTTTCCTCGTACAAAATTTAATATTAGCATTAGCAATTTATATGCCAAAACCTAAGAATTCGCTATTAAATTCAATCTAATTAGCATTAATGCCCATAACTAGCTTTAAGTTGTTTAGACTATAATCAAAAACGTATACACAGGCGCCATTTATTAAAACTTTAATCATTCAATCTGTTTTTTTTTTAGTTTTGTTGATTTACGTAGAATATCCTTAAAAATTTGTTTTAAAATACAAATTAAATTTTATCCCTAAAAATACCTCCAACAAATGTAACCCCATAAACAACTGCCTTTATAGATTTTTCCACCTTTTTTTTTCTATGCGGAACTCCTCTCGGATACAACCCACCAGTGATTATGTCGGATTCGAACAGACCAAAAACCGCACGCCGTCTCCAGGTACCACTAGCCGGGGAGCCAGGTATACCCTAGAAAGGAAAGCCGTATCCCGACGGACCTCGGGCCATCTACGGCTTATAGGTGACCCCTCCTGTATGGGAACCCGGATGTTCCCTTCCTGTCCTTCTCCGTAGCGTGTCCGGATTACCCACCCCGGCCTGCTTCTGCTAGAGTGACAGATGGCCTCACGTGTCACCCTCAGGCCTGAACTTAATTTGGAGAAAACCCCGGAGTTGGCATCACTGCTAGAAAACTGTTTTATTTCTAATATGTTTTAATTCAAAATCTTTTTTCGAAATCTCTTTTTTTAAATATTCTTTAGTGATTGCGTCAAAATAAGTGATTCGTGTTATGTGTGGTGTGTCAGCGAGGAATGTTCGACTTCTGTCGTCCAAGATGGCTGCTTTGACTCACCATGTGACATTCCGCCAGAGTGACAGGTGTTACTCTAATCCGATATAACTAATGTTGCCAAAGAAACACTATGACAACTACACAACAATAACATAGAAGTAAACATTTATTAATGAATGATTTTGTGTGTGTTCTGTTTTTTTTTTTAAGTGTAACAATAAAGTGAAATACTATGTATGTACAAGGTAAAAAAGATAAAAGGAAGAAAAGAAAAAAATACTGTGTACCTAACTAACCTAAGAACATTATGTTGTATTAGAAAATTTGTACTTACTATTATTATTATTAATACATAATAATAACATAAAATACATAAAAACAATAAGCAGGTCATGATAATAAGTCATGGTGTTAAAGTATCCTGAAAGAGGAAAAAGCTTAGATCATAGCCATTTGTTTTTGGGAGTAATCACAATGATTCTAGTCTACCTCCGCAGATTTGCACATTTAGCTCAGATAGCGCAAAATTGTAACCAGTTTTAGGTGTCTAGCTCAAATCTGTTTCTATCTGAGGGCCGAGTGCGAGTTTATTTCATATAAACTCACTCGTGACAGCGAGCGCGTTCGGCGTTGTGATTGGTTAAGATTTCAGTGCGGGCCAATCGCAGCGCTGAACGCAGTCACCATGACGATCAAGTAGATGTGAAATAAACTTGGGCCTCTAGTGTTTTATTTGAGTCTAGTTGAGACATATGTGAATGGCCTCCTGTCATGATATTTTTTTTTTCTTTTCCTGCAGCAGTTCCCACTAATGTTCCCACAAAAACACGTGAGTTTGTTTGTTTGTTGTGCTTTCACACGTACACGGAGCATATGTATTTGAAGGCAAAATTTTAAAATTATCCGTATTTCAAATTTGTGCTTAAAGCATACAGACATGACAAATGATACGGTAAGGGTAGGGTTTTATACTGTTGCAAAGTACTCTTCCGGAGTGGTATTGAAATAGTTTCAGAAAATCTTCATATGTCGCTTACAAAAGCTATTTATGTCGATAATAATAACAGTAGGTCATGCTGAAAGTATAACTCATTTATTTAGTTTAATTAATACAAATATTTTTTCTCCGCATTTATGTCGTCATATAGTACATTTGTGAGTAAAAAGCCCTTTAACATAGTTCTTAAATTGATACAAGTTCCATTTACACATTACATAATCAAATCTAATATCAACTTCTACTAGTAATCAGTAATAAACATAGTTTTTGTTTTAATTTGGTGTTAAAGTCACAAAACACAGGTCCATTCCACGAGTAATTATAATTTTGTATTTCTGGCGTTGAAGTAATTATTTGTATCTTCGTTTCGATGTCTTTGGGTAACTAATTGGTTTCTATCCTAAAAAGGATAATTTCGCCCAGTATTCACTCTAAACATGCCACTTCTGTAAAAAGGAAATGATGTATAAAGCTATTATATATAAATTAAACAACATGACATAATCAATATATATTAACACTGGTTTATCTACTTTAAACCAATTAATACGAAATGCAGAATATTCTTCTTCTTTTTTTTTATTTGTAAACACATTGTCTGAAGTAAATAATTGAATGTAATGCCCTTTCATTTCGTCGTGAGTCTACAAGTTTGAACTTGTGGATAGTTTTTTTTTAAGAAAACCACGAATAAATCATTACACTTAACTTACCCGGATTTTCTCAAATCGGCATTGCCCATAGGGAACTGCCGTCCACGGCAGCTGTCAGTTGAGACTTGGAGAGAAGTGAGGCATAGATTGGCAACTAGATGGTTGCGGGTGACAGTAGAAGCAAAGTACCTCCAGGCATTATTGTGGTTGCATATATTTGTGAGACATCCAGGCATAGAGATACCACCGTTGGGATAAAAGTCAGCATTAGCGACATTTCTACCAATGCCAAGACCACCAACAGTGTATCCACCATCAGTATGAATCGCTTCAACGTAGACACCGTCGTCAGAACTAACACGATTTCTGTTTAAATTCCATAACGGGCCGGCTGGGTCCAAAGCTGGATAAATATTATGAAAATATTATTTAAGAAAATGAAAAATAGAAAATATAATGGATTGCGATTAAACTTGTTTCAGTTGCGAGAATAACAAAAACTTACAAGATGAAACTCTATGTAACGGTTACTTTAGTGTCGGATCTGCAAAAATCGTAAACTTAGTAGATCGTGATTAGCTAGTATTTATGATGATGTCTGTATGATGATGATGTAACGTCTGCCTGTCGAACTATGTTTGTGGGTTTGTTTAATGAGTGAGTGTGATGACACCTTTCTTCATGTAAATGTGTGTTCTTGCGGTTTTCTTGTTGATATTCATGTAATTTTATTTGTATCAATCTTTTAATGAATAAAACTCGACCCTTTGGGCTTAACTATCGTAATACAGAGAATTGAGTAGGTACTACATACTGGAACTAGATATAAAACATACCTGTCACGCGAGCTACTCTTCCTCTAAGCTCACGACCAGCGTTGCCCACCAAATGAGCACCTAAGCTGAAGCCAACCAAGTGAAAAGTGTTCAAATTTGCTCCAGTGACAGAACTGAGAAAGTTAATGAACTGTCCTAGTCCACGGCCTACAGCAGGTACTCCATTAGCGGCGGTGACGTAGTCAGATAAAGCTAATCTTCTCCAATCTAAGACAATGACATTGGTTTCCCCTTGGCCCAGATAAGCTGCAAAATAAAGACATAACAAATAAATATTTTAATTTATTTTTGTCACTGTTATTCATAACAATAAGAAATAGTAACAATAAAAGGTAAAATTATTTAATACAAACTTAACCGCTGTCAAGTGAAGTTATTGGTGAATAACCAATGAACAGCCTTAGATTTTAATTAGATATGTATATTTACCATTTCTTATAGTGGGGTTAATATCAGTCTGTTGATTTGAAAGCCAGCCGTGAACTATGACAACAGTGGGGTGGTTTCTGTTAAAATTTGAGTTTCTGATAGAGTTTTCGTTGTTTATTATCAAGGTTTGAGCTGATGATGGATTGCGTCTGTGAACAAATAAGCATATTTACAGTCAATTAAAAAAACATCATTATCTGTATGAGAAATCAAGTCCAATCATATCCAGGTGATCCATGATTTTATATCTACTATTTGCAGGGACATGTTTCACTTTACCTTTTATGAGATTCATTTTATAAGCATGGTAATGGTGTTAAATTACATTCAATGTACTGTCTGCACTATTGCAATGTATATACAATTTGGCAGACTTCTCGAGATCCACACATAATTCACCTCTTTTTATGGAAGACGAAAAACGATTACCGCCGGCCATGAAGCCTGCATCTCAGGAGTCACAAGCGCATTGCCGGCCTTGTTTTAACAATTTTGAATAGAGGCAATCAAATATCTCTAATCAAATACTCACAATTAATGAATTAAAGAGTATGAATTTTCAGTATACTGATGTTAAACTTTATGGTAATTAAGTAAAAGGTAAGTAGGTATAAGTTTAAAATCAATAAGTTATAGTCTTAAATACCTGGTAAAGAGTAAATATAGGTTGTTAGCAGGGTTTCTGTTAATTTCTTCGAGGAGAGCTACATCTACTTCTTGCTCCAGGTCAACGGTGTGTGGCTTTCCGTCGCCATCGGGAAATGAGATGTATCGTGGATACTTAAAGTCATTTGCCAGGAATTCTTGATTCACGGGTACCGCTGATGCGGTATATACTAGAAAGGAAAACAGGTTATTATGTTTTATGTACTAATTGATGATTCGCATTAGTGTTGACGGAAGCCCGTTATTTATTTATTTATATTACCCAAAAAAATACTTCACACTCACAATATATTTATCTATCATACTTTATAATCAACTCTATTTATAAAAGAGTGCTTAACCCAATTTTGCTAGCTGGTACTTAGTAGTGTTGTTCGTTACACGACTGCAGTCCATGAGGCCTCGGGTTCGATGCCCGGACTGGGAAAAAGTTTATAGGGATTTTCGGAGAGGAAAATGACCTAAGTTTCTCCTTATATAGACAGCTAAATGATAGAAAAATGTTATCAAAATCGGTCAAGCCGTTTTGAAGACTAGCCGGTACAAACAGATAGACAGACCAACCGACAACAAAATGTTTAAACTGATTTGTAAGCATAGCTATTGTGTTAATAACTGTGTAAACATGAAAATAATCTATTACTTTGACATTACAAATAGACACTTCAATTTTATATATTTTATTTATTTTATAGATGTAATTTCTTTCTTCTTCAATAATTTATATTATATTATTTAATACAAAATAAGAAATATAAATATATGTACCATCTAATAAATAATTTCTCAAATATATCATTAATCGATAATGATAATGTTTATCATTTCTCAATGCGTACTCTATGAGATGTATAAAGAATCCAAAACTGATTTATAGTTTTATAGATTATCGCTTTTAAAGAATTAAACTCTTCAGCTACATAATAACATTGTAGACAAGAGTATCTAGAGTCTTAACAGCAGCTAAAGCAGTAGGAAAATTAAGCTTTACTTGCATTTAATTAAATTACTGTATGTGTATTATAGTGAAAAGATATGAGAATTATAAAAAAAATCTTTCTTTTATATAGAATAGAATTAGCATGGAGTCGAAAATGTAGTGTAAAAATATTAGCAATTAATTGCAATTAAAATATTTCCACTAGTATTTATCTTTTTAATATATATTCACTCAATAGGATGGCAAAATATTTAATTTTATATTATTTAATTAATATTTAATTTTATATTATGATTTTAAATTAGGACAAGACGTCATAGACGTGTCTATATTATTAACAAAAGTAGTTGTGTATCACGTCTATACATACAAATAAATAAAATTGAACTGTTTGTTTGTTTGTAATGACAAAAATATATTTCTTTTCATGCTTACACGGTTATGCCTAAAATAGAGGTTAAATATGTTTTGTCTGTCCGTTTGTCGGTTTGTTCCGGGTAATCTTCCGGCTAAACTGTTTTTAATAATATTTTACTACCAGTTAGTGGTCCGTCTGTCCGAGACCTCGTGGACTGTAGTCGCATACCGTACTACATTACTAAGACAGCGCTTTTTACATTCCAATAATACCAGCTAGTTTATTTAAAAAAGGATATAAATTAATTTTTAGATCTAAAAATATAATATGAACAATAACGATAAAATTAGGAACTTTAACTTTAAAAAATAAACGGTGCTATGTCTAACATAATGATAATAAGGGGACCCTTTGTTTCGACTATTTTTTTTTTCGTAATTTAATTTGGCATAACGACTTAGGCATATTTTTTGTCATAATAGTACTTTGACGTAATTGTTTTTGCCATACTATGTCAGTAGGCATAAATATCATTTAGGCTAATATTTTTGCCCTAATTTTGATTGGCATAAAGTTATAAGGCAAATTGTTTATTCGTCTAATAATTATTAGGCATAAAGATAAAAAGGCATAATGGAAACTTAGTTTAGTTAACGACACGTATTTATTCATAATTTCCATGCTAAATATACAGGTATATAAGTTACTTTAATAATTGATAAACATTGAAAAATGAAAAAGGATATATTATATTCAATATAACGTGAGTACTATAGTGTAACAATAGGTTATGGTGTGGCGGGGCACCCCTAAGCCGCCAATAATTTAGTTTAGATACGAAAAGTATTTTAGTAAAAAATTTAATATTATGCTTAAATATCATTAAATAAAAACTAAATAATTATTAAATGATAAATAATTATAATAAATATTTATTTGCTTGAAAAAATTGTGCCTAAACAGTTATGCCAAATTAATATTGTGCGTAACTATTATCAGGATAAGTAAAAGTATGCCGTGTTAAATTATGAAATATGATTTTATGCGAATAGGGAACCGATAATGAAACTCTGAATTATTATAAAGATATTTTGATTGAATTAAAGAAACTAATAACCTTGAATCACTTTAAAAACTTGAAGTTAGTAACTGATTTTGGAAATAAAATTTTATAATCAAGATTTAAGATTTGATCGTTAAAAAATAAAATATATTATAAATAAATAAATAAAATAAATATATATATATATATATATATTATAAATTAAAATATATAATATATTTTTTTTTAATCAAATAAATAATTATAAACTTACATGTGGCAACAAGGAAGCAAAGGAAAACAGCCTTCATTTCATCTCCGGTCTACGATATTACTTCATCATTTAGGGCACTTTTCCTTTTTATAAGAAATGCTTATCAAAATAGCAAAATATAATATCAGTATCTAAAGGCGATTATAATATTAACACAGTAGATTAATGTTATGCATAGCTACGTGGTACTGACTGATAACAGTGATAATGGATACAAACAAACTGTCACCCAGGGCTATGTATCTCAATTATTTGTAATCCTTCCTATTATCCATATTATCTTCCAACCAAATACTCTAGTATCAGATAATTAGATACTTCAATAATATGTTGTTGAGTTAAATGTTTTTTACGCAATTACATCAGAGTATTTGATGCGGACATAAGTTACAGCCTAGAATAGCACATAGGCTATTGTCAAGGAGACATTGATTGTCAAAATCGACATTTAAGCGAGCCAAGCTTTGCGTAAAAGCTAAGTAGAATATAATTTGAAAATTGAGTAAAGTTTTTTTAAAATACTTGAAAAACAATATTTTTAAAGCAGAGTTAAAACTTCCTAATTATTCTGACTTTTTTAAATACACGTGTAAACTGCGGTGCGCTTTGCAGAGAAACATAAAAAAATTCTCTTTAGCGTCAAATTGAATATTTCGGGCGTGGCTAGCTCCTCGCCCGAAATAGTCTATTTGACGCTAAATGCCTGTTCCAATAATTAGTATGACAATGAATGCACAAGAAACCAATTTTCAAAGTTCCAATTAACATTAATTATTTTAATGATTCAAAAATATCATGTTATGTCACAGACTAGGAATAAGTCAAATTTCTTTTCAAAATCAAATTTCCCAGGAAACAGATGACACACGAGTTGAACTTGTGCCAATATTTTATTTAAATAATCCAATGTTTTCACGCTCACCCACAGAAACATTGAACGATTTTATTTAAAAATACAATTCTCTTTTGGCGAAACGATGAAATGAATATGAAAAAAATGTACTGAATATTCGTGTATTGATTTCATCAATTTATCAATTCAATATATTGTTTAGAACAGCAAATATTTGTAAGGGCATAGAGTTTATGTGAATAAACGTTACGTTGCAAAACACTCAATATTAGTTCTTGCCTGGTTCTACTTACAACAACATAATAAGAAAAAAAAGTATAATTCTTTCTAACCACTAGAATGTTTTGTTGTGACTAAAAAATGATTTTATTTTGCCTATTGTGATGTAGTGGTAAATTGATAAATGCATCTAAGTTAAAAGAGAGAGTTGATTTGATTTGATTTGAGAGCAGAATAGTAATAAAAATATGTACAAAAAATAAAAGTACTAGGCAAACCGACGATCTATAAAAGTGGATAAAGAAAGAAGATTTTTTCTGACTAAATAAAATTGATTTGGGCAATATTAGATTTATTTGAAATGTAGTGACCTAATAAAATTGTTGTTCTTGAACGTTATTTACAGACTTTTCAAAAAATAGTAATAGTGTCATCACTGTTTTTACAGTTATTGTTTATTAAGTTATATTAATAAATCAATTTGTGAAACCAACTTACTAACTAACAAAATTGTTTCAATATCATATTATTTGCATTCTTATGTATAACTAGCTGACCCGCGCAACTTCGTCTGCGTCTCTCAATAGTAATAAATTTTCTCCGTTTTTGAAACATTCTTCTTTGGTGCTCCGCTCCTATTGGTCTTAGCGTGATGATATATAGCCTATAGCCTTCCTCGATAAATGGGCTATCTAACACTGAAAGAATTTTTCAAATCGGACCAGTAGTTCCTGAGATTAGCGCGTTCAAACAAACAAACAAACAAACAAACCCTTCAGCTTTATAATATTAGTATAGATAGTACGTGGCCTTTGTTGGAATTAGTATTAATTTACTGAGAGTGAAATTTTACACATAATTGATGACGATGAAGGTTAAGTTATTTTTAAGTTCTTCTTATGTTATAACGATTATAAAATCAAGAAAAAACCAAGTCTAATTTACATCTCGACATGGATTTGTGGTCGATAAATTTGTAAATGTTCTTAGTGTAATGCGATTAATATTATAATGTAAAATTATTCTCAGAAATAAAAAATGCTAAACAATTATTGCATTTATTTTTTAAAACAAACTACAAAGCTTCTTAAGAAATCCTCGTTCCATTGCAGTCACGTCTCCCACTTTAGTAAATGGACTGTAGAACAAAACAAATTTAATTATTCTTTGCCACTGTATTCTATGTGGATTAAATTTTATTGCATGTTGTATTTTTAAGTACTTCATTATTTTTATTCGTTTTATATTATAATATATATATATAATCCAGCATTTTATTGGTTTTAGAAGTTATTTAAAGAATATCTTTAAGACATTAAAAAAAAAACAAAAATGTATTCAAAGTTAAAATTTACGAGGAAGATGACTTTTTATATGACAGAATATTAGATTAAAAAAGTAGTTAAATATGGTGAAAAAAATTCCTCCAAAATATTTACTCTTAAGGGACAAAATCAACCTTTTAACTAGTCAGTGATTACTATCGAAAATAAAGTTGGTGTACTTAAACAGATTTCCAACAAGAATGTTTTAAGGTACAAAGTCTTAATATGGATTAGCATATTTCGTGCGTAACGTACGAAATATAATGAGTGCTATCCAAGACATGAAAGTATGCTCCTTTTTCTGCTGTAGCATTTTTACGGATCGGTCATTTGTCATAAAATATTATACACGTAAATCCGTTGCTACACCATTGTCAGTCTATTCGTCAAGTCTCTATTGTTTGATTTAGCTTATCAGCACAACTATGGCTTTTACCTTTCTGATCCACTTTGATCTAAAGGGCGATGTGTGGATGTATGAATGTTTGTTGTTACTATTTGAAGCAAAAACAGCTGAACGAGTCTGAATGAAAATTAGCACAGAGATATACAGTAGGCTGAAAGAGCATAAACGCTTCTTTTTTTCTTGAAAATAATGCAGTGTTCTCGTGGGATGAGCAACGTATAACAACAACCACGTAGCTATAGTAAATAAGACGTAAGTGATTTTTGAGTACCCGATTCGTAGCTTCAATCAACCAATCAGCCTATTATAGATCACTATTGCTATGGCTCGCATTGGGAGAGGCCTGTGTTTAACAGTGGACTGTAATATACACTTATTAGTTAATTAATTTTTAATTAAATAAGAAACATGCTTTAGCAAGTGCGACTTATAAGTATTTTACTCAAGAGGTACGTCCTCGAATCGCATAGTCATCACATAAATAAAGGAAAATTAAACAATAAATTTTCTAGAATCACAATAATCTTTTTATCTTGGCATGTTGTTATTGCTAATTACTTTTATCATAACGTTAGATTTACTATTTTGATTTTAACAATATAATCCAACATAATTATTTTGATACCACTACAAATTATTGTGATAACCTTTTGACATTGATCATTACCTTATCTCTTTATTTTATATTTTATGCATAAATGAAGCTATATAATTGCTGACTTACGAAACAGGCATTTTCTCTAAGTTTACGTTAGGGTGGTGTAGATATTCGTACGGTTTTCCACAGGGGTCTGTTCTTGGACCCCTTCTGTGGAACATAGGGTACTACTGGGCTCTTCTTGGATGTTTGCCATTACGCCCATACCGCGGTATGGGCGTAATGTGTTATGCCAACGATACTTTAGTTACGGGGTCGAACTTTCAACAGACGGCGCGCCACTAGGGGAGTCTCTGTGGTGGTCGGGCGCATCTAGTCGCTGGGCTTATGGGTGGCCGTGCGCCCCATGGTGGTACACGTAGGTTGTCCAGTCAATAGCACTATACGGTGCACCGGTGTGGGAGGCGGTTCTGATCGCCCAGACTAGGGCACGCCTCTGGCGCCCTCAGAGGATATTGGCGGTTAGAGCCATACGCGGTTATCGCACCATGTCGACGGAGGCGACGTGCTCGTTAGCCGGAACTCCCCCGTGGGATTTGGAGGCGGAAGTCCTCGCCGAAGTATATCAGTTGAGGGCTGAGATCCGGGTGGGTAGTAGCAGTCAGCCCCGCCTGAAGTGCACTCGAGTGGCACGAGCTCGCTCGCCGAGCCACGATGTCTTGTTGGTCGTTTCGGCTCGAGGCTCGAGGTTCTTTCCGGGCATAGCTGCTTTGGAAGGTACCTGCACTCGGTCGCTAGGAGGGAATTGAGTAGGGAACATAGGGTTCCCACACGGGGGGCGGTCGTCTACTCGTCTGTAGATGACCCGAGGTATGTCGGGGTACCAGGGACTTCCTTTCTAGGGTATACCTGGTTCCCCGGCTATTAGTACCCGAGACGGCGTGCGGTTTTAGTCGGTTCGAGTCCGACATGACAGGTGGTATCCGAGCGGATTTCCGCACGGAAAAAAAAAAAAAAAGGAGGGAATTGAGTCCTGCCTGTCATTACTGCGTATGTCATGCTGTAGAAGGAGGCGGTAGAGAGGGGTCGGGAGGATGACCTCCACTCGGACCCAATTCGCCGAGGCGAACCGGGCGGCGGAGGTGCGCTTACCAGCGCCTTATGCCGCCCTGAGTGGGCTTTCCCTCCACCCGCCATAACTCGCCAGCCGCGAGAAGGCTACGTCAACCAAATAGAAAATGTACGAAGTAGTGCCCGTGCCTGTAACACTTCGTACTCTTAATCCTTCACTACACGGACGGCTCTTCATTACTAGTACACACATTAACTTGAAATAAAATTTCAAATAGGTATGCATTGAGTTCAAAACATCTTAAGCGTGCCTGCTTCGATGCCTGTATGCACCTTATAATCCAAAAAGGCAGCTACTAGTCTTCAGAAATGATACAGCAATTGTTTAAAATAGACACATAAAAAAATATATGAAATTAATTTTACCGATATCTACGCATACCTGCGTCTTTTAACCCCAAAGGTGTTGTCAGAGATCTAAAACTCCCACAGTTTGTTAATATTTATAGTAATACACAAGGTTTAACTGTAACGTTTTAAACAATATTGAACAAATTGGTTACAG